CCAGTCAAGAAGCTTCGTGACAAGTGACTTAATCATATTCTAGATAAGGCTACAAGGTTCTCAATGCATCTGGACACCAAACACAGACAAATCACATAGATTTCTCTAGTGGCAACTACTTAACTGACTTGACATGGTATTATATAAATATATATACATATACATATATATATATACACACACACATATATATATATATATATAGAGAGAGAGAGAGAGAGAGAGAGAGAGTGAGATATGAATCTATTACTTTGGCAATGATTGATATTTCATAGTTTCCACCTGATCATTTAGTGTATTCATTTAAGGCCACCACAATAAAGTTGGCCAGATGAAAACCATACTGATGATGATCGTGTGCGGCAGTCGAGTGCATTTCTTGCAGTCACCACAACCATTGAAGGCTTTGCCCGGACTGAGAGCACCTGATAAGCACAAAGAAAATAGCAAGATGGAGAGGTGAAACCCAACCTGATCAAAGAGGTCCTTCTTCATTCTAGCAAGCTGGCGCTGCAAGCCAGAAGCATTCTCCATCTCTGGATAAGTGTTGTGAAAGCAGAAACAGAGCAAGGGGCGGAGTGCAGAGGCAGTATGTGCTGATGAGATATGAAGAACCATGGTGGACTGATATTTATAGACCAGGAAATCGACTTTTGATGTCTATCACCACTGCACATAATCCACCGGCATCACTCTGGTGGGACAGGTTCAGTTGCAAATCCAAGAGATGGACAGTAACCCAATCCATAGTCCAATTAACTTGGCTGAAGTCACTGCTACAATCTCATCTGAGTTCATGAAGAAAAGACAACTACTGTATCTCCAACAAGTATAATTCTACTACAGCTATGTATTCCTTGGTTTAATCCAATCATCCTGTGACATTTTTATATGCAATTCTTAAGCTTTACTTGATGATATCTTAGATAGAGCAGCTAAACATTGGAGGTCAAGAAGAAGCTTTTAGAGAGAGAGCATGGAATGGTTTTTCCCAGTGACATCAACAATTGACCTCCTTCAGCAGCTGATCAACTAAATAAGTGTTCTTTGCATCTGCAAAATATCCACCACCTTCTTGGCACCGATATCACCTCAGCATTAGATTACTCCCATGCACATAAAGAGTAAGACATATGGCACCCCACAGCATGTCACTCTCAGATCAAACTGTAAGCAGATATCGAAGGCGCCGCTTCATGAGCTTCTGACCAATTAATATGTTTATTTCCAGAAAGGATCACAATATGTAAAGGATCACAATGTATGGCGGTATGTTCTTGTGATCAACATCCCCTGTCGAGGAGTTACCACTCCTGTCCACCATTTTCATCAAAAATAATCTTCCTTCTCCTTCAGCATTTGGAGGCTGATACAGCCAGTGTCAGTGACATAAACAGAGGCCTAGTAGCCATTGTCTTGCCTCTCTATCTCCTGCAGCACATGGAAAAGAAAAGATGAGAATGAGAATAGACATTTTCGAAATGCTATCTTTATTCCGAACCAATAGGAGTAGGATGGAGTAACACTTCCGGTAGCTCTCTCGGATGGTTTCCAGTGTTGGCTTTTCCCTTCCGCTACTTTGCTAAAGGAGCAAAAGTTGCAGGATGCAATGCATGATTGGTCCGATCAGTATGATTCTCGCCTAACATCCTTATCGACATGTTCATGCTTCGTATGCGACAAACTAATCTTTATGACATCCAAAGGTTAACTTTACTTTCCAAAAGAATCATCCGATATTACTGATTCTTCTCGAGGCCACGTATGTCTGGAGCATCACTGAAAGCGTAGGATAGTAGCAACCCATGCATCTTGGGCTCTTTCAGAATCTTGTTTTCCCCCCGCCCGCTCATCGGGCATCCAAATGATGAGAAGGAGGGAATCACCGAATGAGAGTAATGCTTGTAGAAAAGGCAAAGAAGAATAGACAGAAGAAAACGAAGGATAAACAAATAGCCCCACACTTTCTTCTTCAAGTATGGCTTCCCTTTGACGAAGAACAGTACTGAATAGCTACCATCGATAAGAATAATAACGCAAAGACGTGCATATCGATAGCACAACACGGCCTCCTAATCTTGATTGAGCCCCTGCATTCCAAGTTTGTTTAGTAACATAATCAAATTTCCCTCGTAAATGATTGTGTCTTCGAATAAAGTTGTCATGCTCTTCAGGTATGCTAGATTTGGTGAATCGTATAAGCCAAGGTTTGCCATATTGTGGGACACCATGCTCTTCAGGTATGCTATTTATGTTGTCAATTAACAAAGACCATAAAATTATTTCTAATTTGGTAGAACTATAGAAATTGATTAAAGCATTTGGTCAAAAGTGAAAATCACTTTCTCATCATTTCACTATGATTTAGTTATCTGATCCATAATTTTACATGTCGGAATTGCATGGTTCCATAATAGAATCTTGATATTTTTGAGGCATCTATTTACTACTTACAAAAAGGTAAAACTAGTGGCAAACCGATGGAATATCGTTCAATTCTGATACTTGAAAGGAAGTACAAATTTGATAATAATAATAATAATTGATAAAAGTATTTTAAGTAATCATTCATTGTATTACAAAATTAGATTATTTTTTTATATAATTCATACGGATTATACCAAAAGCCCACCAAGTCAATCGATTTATTTCACTTTTTTAACACGTCCGAAATAATAATTATATATATATATATATAATTATTATATATACAATAATCGATTTATTTCACTTTTTTTAACACGTCCGAAATAATCATTCAGTCCACCCTTTCTTTCACAAAAGTGGATCCACCCTTTGTCCCTT